GTGGCCCCTGCGGAAGTTTCCCATCAGATGATGAGCTAAGAGGCCGGGACCGGGTGCGTTCTGCGACGAGCATGTCGTAGGTGCGCACAGGAGGGGCACTTCGCCAGGGAGTGTCCCAACGCACACGACTTGTTCTGTTGAGTATGTGGGAACTGGGGCAGGAGTAGCCAGGATTGTTGTCACCGCACGGAGGCGGGCAACGGGTAAAGGCGTCGCCCAGGCCAGGATCGGCTCAGCGCCGATACACGCGTGATAGGACACCCACTGAAGGTGGACGGTGGCCGAATCGTCGCTACAGTGGAGATTGGCGGGCGCACGATGCCTGCAACATTCGACACCGGAGTCACTCGCAGCTTCATGAGTGAAAATTGCGTACGCAAGTGGGCAATTCGGGAAAGAGCGGAGGACGTGCAGACGCGCATTCGTCTGGCAGATGGGTCCACGCTGGAAGTAGGGAAGGCATTGTGGTTATTGGCTTAGCGGGAAAGGTGATCAGCATGTCGATGCTCGTCATTCTGTGGTTGGTTTTGTGGGTGCAATGGGCACCAAAATACGCTGCGGCAAGGCAGAACTAGTCTTAGAGACGGTGTTGGCACCGGTCGCGGGGCCAGGAACGAGCGAGGAGCCGAAGGAAGGCCTCCCAGGTCAAGATAGGGGAGCACCTGCTCGGCAACAGAAGAGAGAGGACACCACAAAGGAACCGAAGGAAGGCCTCCCAGGTCAAGAAAGTGAAGAACCTGCTCGGCAACAGAAGAAAGAGGATACCAATAAAGAACCAAATGAAGGCCTCCCATGTCAAGAATGGGGAGTACCTGCTCGGCAACCGGAGGGAAAAGACACGAAGGAGAGAGCGACGAAGGGGCCCCACTCGGGATCGGACCGAGCGCATGAGCGCATCCTGGAGTCGGAACTGACACTCTTCGAGGTGCTGCAGGGGGTCTCGCATATCGCGGAGCACAGGATCCGAAGGATGAAGGATGACAAGCCACTGAAGCAAATGTATTATCCGAAGAATCCGGCCATGCAGAGGGTGATTGAAAAACAGGTGGATGAGCTGATCGTCTCAGTCAATGAGAAGACTGGCGAGTGGCGCATGTGCATCGACTATCAGAAACTCAATGCGCATTCCATTTGAGATGCTTATCCTGTCTTTCGGATTAATCACATCCTTGAGCGGTTGCGTCACGCCCGGTTCATATCCACTCTATATTTGAAGCACGCGTACTGGCAGATACCGATGACAGCCGATAGTAGGGAATGCACGGCATTCACAGTCCCAGGTAAAGGTCTTTTCCAATGGCGGGTGATGCCATTTGGATTACATTCAGCGTGTGCGACCTTTCAGCGAGCCTTGGACACGACAATAGGGCCGGAGATGGAGCCTCATGCGTTCGCCTACCAAGAAGATATCCTGGTAATAGGGGCAACGAAAAAACAACATGTAGAGAATTTGAGGGAGGTATTCCGTCGGTTAAGGGCGTCCAATCTTAGGCTGAATAGGAAGAAATGCAGCTTATTCAGGGAGATGTTGGTATATCTGGGGAACGTCATTTGCGGGGAAGGCATACGTACCGATCCGGAGAAAGTGGAGGCGATTGTAACCTTAGGGCCCGCCTAATTGCAAGGAGTTGCGGCAGTGTCTCGGGAGGGCTTCATGGTACAGGCGCTTCGTTCCAAGCTTCGCGATTCAGGTACAACTGCAAACAGCGCTCCTAAAGAAAGGGCGGAAATGGTCATGGGGTGAAAATCAGGAGGAGGCATTGCGTCAATTGAAGGATAGCTTGACGACTGCCCCTGTGTTGGCTTGTCCGGACTTTTTCACCAAATTCGTCTTGCAGACTGACGAGAGTGAGTATGGCCTCGTCGCAGTACTGTCGCAGTCGATAGAGGGGCAGGAGCGCATGATAGCGTACGCGAGTCAGAAGCTGCTGAAGATTGAGGTGAACTATTCCGCCACCGAGCAATCGTGTGGTCGATTGGGAAGTTGGGTTGCTACCTAGAGGGGTACCGGTTCGACGTGATAACGGATCATCTGGCACTCAAGTGTCTCAACTCGATCGAGAGCCCCTCAGGAAGTATAACGCGATGGGCACTGGAACTCCAACAGTTTCAGTTCGGTGTTCACTACTGACGAGGGAAGCTCAACGTCGTGGCTGATGCACTATCAAGGCATCCTCTAGAGACCTGTCAGCAGGCAGCAGGCCACCTGTCTGGTGGCAGATTCCCCCTGCAAATGGGTCGCGACTATGTGTGCCAGGATCACCGAAGAGCCAGCCAAGTTCCCGGACTACATAGAAGAAAATGGGCAGTTGTATAGGCATTTGGGCCACCGGACGGACTACATTCCTTGGAAGCTATGCTTGGCCAGTGGTCAACGGCAGAGGGTATTGCGGGAATGCCATGATGCTCCCACGACCGGGCATCAAGGCGAGAGGAAAAAAGTATCAAGGTTGGCCCAGAGGTACTACTGGCCGGGTATGTTCCGCGACGCCGCCAAGAAGTTCAAGAGCGAGCAACTCAAACCGGCTGGCCGCATGCTGACGAGACAGGTAGCAGAGGCGATGGCAGTACTCTGCGCGGATTTCGTCGGTCCCCTTCTACGGTCGAGACATGGCAACACAATGTTATTGGTGTTCCATGATGCCTTCTCGAAGTGGGTGGAACTGGTCCCTCTCAGGAGGGGGATTTTGAGAGAGGATTTTGAGTAGTTCGGGGTACCCAAGAAGTTTGTGTGCGACAACGGGGTACAGTTTACAAGCCTTAGCTTCAAAACTTTTCTGGAGTCCCTGGGTGTCGAGGTCCGCACCGGAGTCCGCAACTAGTGCGATCGACCCTAGGACGAAGTCGGATAGGTTTAGGGAAATCTTTTATATCGCCCACAGCAATCTCTAGCGTACGGCAAAGGACCAAGGCAGGCACTACAACTTGCGAAGACGCGAGTGGCGACCTTCATTGGATTCGATGGTCCTGTTACGGCAGCACCAGCTGTCCAACGCGGCTGAGGGCTTCACCACGAAATTGGCACCCAAATTTGACGGACCCTATCGGGTCATCAAGTTCATATCTCCCAACATCGTGCGCCTAGTGAAGCCAGGTGAACGAAAGAAGAGGGTGGTCGCAGCTGATGCCATTCCACCAATAGATGACTGATGACGAAGGAGAGAAACCTGGACCCATGGAGGCCCACGAGTAGGCAAACAGTGAGAGCGACGCCCGTCGCCTAACGCAACACCAGTACTAACTGTAAATTAGACTAACACTAGTAGCGTGGTTAGAGGAGGCAAAATAGAATGTGAGCCGCACTGTGAGGATAGGGTACTTACAACTACGTAATGGATAAGTTAACGAATAAGTCGAATTTACAGATGCACCCAGAAGTAAATTCAATCTTATCGGACGAGGAAGCGAGCAGCGGAAGTACTCAGCCTTGCCCCGGACATGGCACCGGACCATGTTCGTCGAGACTCCGTTATCGCGGAATTTGCCGCTGTACGCGGAAGAGCCCCCATCCCCGCCGCTGGCATCTCCCTCGCCAATGTCGCCTGGAATGACAGCCCCGGCAGCAACCGACGAGGTGGACGATTCAGCGGACGAGGAGGAAGTCCCACCTCTCGAGGCGGGCGACCACACTCCATCGATGCGGGAATCCAAAGCGGTAGGTGGAACAAGAATTTCCCTGTTGGCTCCGGATATTGAGTCGTCACCGACGGAGGTAGCGCGCAACGCCCCAATACCCGACGCGGAAGCCAGCCAGCTTCGCCGCAGCTCGGACCCCGTCGAGAAAAGGGACCAGCCGGCGCCAGAGTACATGGCGACCTTTGAGACAGTGACGGAGGACGATTATTCCGTCGCCCTGGCTAGCGCCCATTGCCGTCTGCCAGATGGTTGTGGAGGAGCACCGGACCGGATTAGAATAAGAGCATAGTCAATTAAAGGCAAGGAGCCGTTTAGCTTATAGTTATTTTGTTTCGTTAGCATTATTAAAACAAGAGTAGTTAAGGGCAATAATTTAAGTTTGAATTTAACTGCCGGCCGCCGCAGCAACCGTGCGTTGCTGATCGGTTCCTCAACACCGTTTACGAGAGCGCAGCTTCAATTCGGCGGCAAAGAGCGAAAGCTCCGAGGCGAAGTTGCCAAAGCTCGCGGCGCAGTTGAGCGGCCGAGTAAGCAGCGGAGCGCTAGGGCTCCGAACAGTGCGGAAGGGTCTTTACTTAGGGAAGCAGAGTAGGGTAGTGCCTAATAATTAAGGAGCAAGAAATGTAAATAAAACAAAGTTAACTAAGAAAGTCTGCTAGTTCTTTTTATTTTTTATTAGTCCCAATCTCGAACATCGGGGCTAGTCGGTGTTAAACATAACCGCCTTTCCCAATCTCAAGTGCAATGAGTGTGGTACGAGGCTGCTGTGTCGCCTGTGAGAGCAATCCCGGCAGTGTGTGTGGTACGAGGCTGATGCCCGTCGCCTGTGTGAGCAATCCCGGCAGTGTGTATGTACTTCATGCCCAACCTTGTAAGAGAGGAGCGAGGCATGATGTGTTTGAACAACTTCCTCTCCCCTCTAAACCCTCCATCCCAGCAAAATAACAAATATCTTGTAACTTGCTGGTCCTGGGTACTCTGAGAGTTGTACCCCGGCAAGTAGCTACCTTACACGTTCTAGTCGCAGGTCCGGGCACATGTTAAATACGATCACTTCTTTCTTACTCCCATATTTCACAAGCAGAACGATGTGGCCTAAAATTGGGCGACTGGCGAATACGCAGGGTCTATGCTACCCTCCCGTCTCACAGCTTCAATGACCTGGCGCCTGCTAATTCTGCGTCTGCGGAAGCCCGTCCGAGCCTTCACCACCCGTCGGGTGGCCAGCGTCATCCCATCCAGCTGTCGCTAACCAAAAATTCTATTTCGGCCGAAATGTTCTTCCTTTGTTCATATCCCTGTACATGCCTTATTCTGATCCTAATGGTCTATATTCGTCTCCTTTTCAAAGACTATTGGCTCTGCTAGGTGTTCTTCTCCTGTTTTTCCGCCGTCACCGTCCCCGAAAGCATCTGTCCCGCCATCATCGCGCTTCCTCTGGGGTTTCCCGGACAATTTTCGCACTGTGAGCAGAATGTGTCCGGCTTTCCGCATCTATAGCAGAATATCTTCCGCTCTTTGGACAGGCAGTCTCTAAAGACATGGCCGAACTGCCTACAGTTCCAGCATACTAGCCGAGAAGATGTTTTCCCTCGTACGGCCTCCTCCAGTTCTCTAGGCAGGGTTTCTGCACGATGTGGTGGTACCTCAACCTTGTGAACTGTCGGTTTTACTCCTTGCGAGTAACGCGACGGTTGCACGTACCCAGTCCGGCTTCAGCGACCAATGTGCCTCTCCACTTCCATGCACTCTCGGCGCAGCTCATCTACGGTGAGCACATCCATCGCATAGATATATATAGACGGAACACGAAGCCCTCGACAGAATTCATTGCGTCCTCGCCGTCGAACTTGACGTTCCAAAACTCGAGCGTCAGGTACACCGTTTCCCGTACGTTGGCATGTGCTTACTCCGGCTAAAAGTCATCCGCTCTCCGGTCCTCCACTCGGAAGTGGCGATTATTCGGATTACGCCAGTTGCTCGCCTGAGCATCTGCAACGAATACTGGGCTGCTGGATGAGTAAACCGCTCATCGCGCGCCATGTATTCCAGGCGGCCTAAGCACATCAACGATGCCCTTCATCATCTCCATGAAGCCAGTTCGCATCTTCTCGCGGATGGACTCGCTGATGCCGGATGCCCCAGAAATTCATTGGCGTTCTCAGGAGACCTCCTGCCGGACGCGTCGGTGGCAGTTCCGACGCTCCGTCAGCGTCAGAAACCTAGTCAGACACCTGTTCCTCAGCCATACTAATCTCTTATGACAACTATATCACTCTCTTCTAGAAGGCTTACTAGCCCCAAAACTAGAACAAAAAAACTTTACAAATAACTCCTATTAAATAAATAATCATCCACCAACAAATCTTACCTATATTTAATAATAAATAAATAATTATCGTCAACTCCCTATCGACAACAAAATCTTACCTGCAATAATAAATAGGGTAATAAATAAACATCGACCACAAAAATAACTCACAAAAATATTTTTTTTTTTGTTTTTCATTCAATTTCATATAAGAAGACAAATCCTAGCCCAGGCTAACGTGTCTACGCATAATCTGGGCAGTGGACAACATTTAAACCTTCGTCAAATGCTCAGTCTGTCAGTGCGACTGACGAACGGCATTCAAGGAACGCTACCTTGAAGTCTATTTGGCTTCTGTCACACTTCTGTGCACTCCTGGGGTATGCTGTGTCACAGGTGCGGCGCAGGATCGAATCTATATCGTCCAGGGTCACCTGTCTCCGAAGCTCATATAACTACGGCCATCACACATCAAACGTAAACACAGAGTGAGACAAAACAAATAGTAGACAATAAACAAACTCTTACAAAACATACTCTAATATCACATTTTATCACAGGGTTTTTTGTCATGGCGGCTACCACCAGGCTGTGCTGGAGCGTCGCAAACGCTTCGCCAACATGCGAGCGTGTCATACTGCCATCAACAGCGACAAGAAACCTCCCCAAGTTAATGGACACTATGGCAAGATCCGTTTCGTTCGCTCTTCTGGCCATTCATTCTCTGAAGCTCTTCTAACTACGGTCATCACACATCCAACATTAACACAGAATGAGACAAAAAACTAATAAATGAATAAATAACACCTGACAAAACAACCCTAATATCACATTTTTATCACAAGATGCCTTTGTCATTGCGGCTACCACCAGGCTACGATGAACGGTCGCAAACGTTACGCTAACATGCGAACGTGACTTTCCGCCATCAACCACGACAAGAAAAACTTCTCATACTTATGGATATGCTGGTAATATCTGCCTCCGTCGTGCTTCTCGGATTCCACTACACGCTGCGCGATTATGGGCCACCCACTCGAGCCACTAAAGACATCAGCGGTGTGGATCCTAAAGCCAAGGAAGACTTTTCTCTGTACCTGCGTTGAAATTTTATATACTTTTTTTTGAATTATTATTATTTTATTTTATTATTTCCGCCCGACTTCAAAGAAGCCGGGTACTTATTCAAGGTGGGCGCCATATTGTTACGGAATTGCTTGTTTCTCTTTGGGCCGCGTCCCATCCATGGCCCGCAGTCCGCACAATCGGTATCCACAACCTACAACATCTGTATCAAAACAGACCTACACAGCACTATCGCTAAACGAACCACTTAATCGATAAACGTCAAACAACTAGAACTACTAACAAATAACAACAATAACAGCTGTGCCAACCGATAAATATAAACAACAAAGGTGAGACGCAAATATAAATTAACAAAAAAAAACACTACTGATCCACTTTACTTCTCCAGAAGTAAAGTCACCTGATCTCGTCTCCCTCATTTTGGCCATTAGATGGCCTTCATCACCCCGTGTCGGCAGTCAAGCCCCCTCTCCTCATCAATGGATAATTAGCCGGATATTTCTCTTTTCAGAATATCCGTATAATTGGTTTCATTATCTTATAATTATTGACAATTAACATTATTTTTTTTTCTTATTTCTTATTGCATTTATCTTTGCACTCTACTACTTACACTCTACTATTTACAATCTCATGCAAGCGGACATTTCTTTTCAATTTCAATAGATGCGTATTATTCTTTGCTTTATCTTATCAGAATTGATCTTAATTTAAAAAATTTCAATTTTTTATAGCATGACAACAATGAAGAAAGGACCTCACCTCAAGCTAATGCCAAATACAGTCGCGCATGTATATATATCTTTATATAAATGACTGTAGATTTTTCCAATTTGCTAACATTTTGATTGATACGGGTATACACAAATATTTAAACACATTATCTCACGCGCATATACACAAGTAACTCTATATTTCAATTTCGTTTATGCAAGGTAAAAATTGCACTAGAACTATTGCTCACATTTTGAACCTGGCATCAAAATTGTGGCTTGTTGAATTAATGCAAATATTTATACAAATTATTATGTGATATGGCAACACACACCCATTTTCTTCTAACCCGAATAAAAACTTGCTTTGGTTTTGGGTTTTTTTCATAGCATATCCCAAGCGACCTTATTCACAATAATTTCCCTTTTGGCCCTTTTGGCCATATTTTACGCTAGAGTTAGACGGCTTTCGTTCTTTCTTTCGTAACACGTACCCAGATTAATTAACCCGCTGTGGTCGTGTGACAGTATCAAATTTTGATTGTGCCTTTTTTAACACTGATAAATACTTGAGAAATATAGACTAAAATATCCAGTAAAAAATTAACTATATTAGGGTTAAACAAATACAGAAAATATTAAAAACTCGTTTTTCCTATAAGATACGTGAATATATATTTATAAATCTTATAATTTCGGAAATCGCTGTGTTCATACCGATGGACATGGATAGATCGATTCAATTCGTTGCCCAGTTTCAAGAGATACATATATAATTTATGGGAAATGTTTCTATCTGCCTGTTGCATTTTTTTGCATAACAACATTATACAATTGGTTCAAAGAGAGAAAGAACAGAACAGTCAACACTTAATACCCCTGGATGTCATATGGCAGATTTGCAATATATTCAATATTAACAAAAAAAAAAAATGGAAGAGTCGTCCCCAATTATGGCTTATCTCTGTGTAATGTCGCGTTAGGAAAATGCGATACGCGTTCATCTCTATATCTACTATACTATTTAAACGTGATTTAAAATAACCACAACAGATTTTGTGGTTTTATGTTACATTTTATGTTTGATAAGCAGGAAGCCAGGATGCACAGGACGCCGCAGTGCAGACACGAAGTGTATCAGTTCAATGATAAACTGGAGGATGAGTAACAGCTCTGCTGCTGCTGTGGTCAAAATAAGTTAAAATCCGAAATACACGCATCTGCAGCATTTTCTGGCAAATGTTGTACATTGCATTGTATTTTATCAAATATAATCAAACAAATAAGAGTGTTGTAGTCTAGAGCTCCCAGAAGGATATACCCTGTACCCGAACGCTGAGCAGTTCTAACAAGCATTCCATACATATACAAATGCTGCCACTGCTTACCACTTCCCACTGCTGCGGATGGAATTTCCCAAATCGCTGAATCACGTATTCATTAAGTTCTAATGTAGAGCTTTGAAAATAAGTTTGAAGCAAATCGGACACAACTTAAAACTTCGGCCAAAAAATCTTTAAATCGCATTCCCCCCGAAGAAGTTGGAATTCTGCGAAAAGTGTGAAACACGTCTCAAATGATTTTTCATATATGTAGATCTCTGGAAATTAATTTGAGCGCGAAACGTCACCCACCAAATCTTTGAATTGCATTTCTACCAAGGAGGAATGGATTTTCCTAAAAGTGTGAAACACCCCTCAAATGAATTTGAACAAAATCTTTGAAAATAAATTTGGGGCCGATCGGATGGTAAACAAAAAACTTTCATACAACCGTTTTCCGCCAATTTATCACTGTTGCGGGCGGAATTTCCCAAATCGCTGAAATACGTATTCATTAAGTTCTTATGTAGAGCTTTGAAAACAAGTTTGAAGCAAATCGGACACAACTTAAAACTTCGCCCAAAAAATCTTTAATCGCATTCCCCCCGAAGAAGTTTGAATTCTGCGAAAAGTGTGAAACACGTCTCAAATTATTTTTCATATAGATCTCTGGAAATGAATTTAAGCGCGAAACGTCACCCACCAAATATTTTACCCCCATTTCCACCAAGGAGGAATGGATTTTCCTAAAAGTGTGAAACACCCCTCAAATGAATTTGAACAAAGATTTTTAAAAATAAGTTTGAGGCCGATCGGATGGTAAACAAAAAAGTTACACACAAACGTTTTTCGCGATTTTTCTACACTCTCGGGTGGAATTTCCCGAAACCCCGTCTTAACGTGCACCTACATCACATAAGGTAACTACAGTGAAAATTTCAGCTTCCTGCAGCTCTTACGGTTTGGGCTGTGCGTTGATCACCAATCTGTCAGTCAGGACGAACTGTTTTATATATAGAGATATATACATATATTTGATTGGTGTCCGAGATGCTTCCTTCTGCCTGTTTTATACATTTACACCTAACCATTATAGCCTTTTGCCACTAACCATACAACATATATGTATGTAGATGCGACAACTAGAGCAATACATGTGGACATTCAAAATTGTTTCGGCCTGGTCCAAAATCGAATTCGTTTTTGTTTGGATCCGAGAGGCGCTCACTTGCTCAGACAGGCCTTTACCTATGTTCAATGGCGTTTTAAGTGTATAAAAACTTACAATTGCCGGTGAATTTGAGACGGTGGCCTGAAATATCCATGGAAATGCGTTTCATCCCGAAATT